AGACGACGATGATGATGGTTATTCGAATGAAGAAGAAGAAAGATTATATTTTTATACAATGAAGTCATTTTGAATGACTCTCAATATGAAAATTGTGTTGGCTTAAGACAAAACTTACACACATGTACAAGCAGTCACACATACATACGTGTACACACACACACAGAAACAAACAGACAAACAAACAAACGTGCATACATAGCGACAAGAACAGTAGAAAATCAAGAGAGACACATCTGATGAAGCAGTTGAATCTTTTACTGAAAGAACATCATGGCTCTTCTGGTAGATGCACTTTCACTCCTTCATTTATTCATTCACTCCTTCATTCATTCACTTCTTCATCCATTCATTCATTCACTCCTTCATTCATTCATTCATTCATTCCTTCTTTGTTCGTCCATTCATTTTCAACCAGACCCATTGTTACCGGTACTAACTCACCTCATCAAGGACATAAAGTCCTTCGATGTTAAGCAAGAGGTCTGTTGAATAATAATAATAATTATAAATAATAATAATTATAAATAATAATAATGATAATTATGTATAATTATAAATGATAATAATAAATGATAATTATGATGACGATCAGGCCTTGGGGAGGATATTATCGTATAAGGCAATGACGAGTTCGAATGTAAGAGAGTTGTATGCTAATGTCATCAACAATGTAATAGGTTGTTGTTGTTATTATTGGTATTTGTTCTTTTATCCATTCATTCATTTATTTATTCGTTCGTTCGTTCATTCATTTATTTGTCTGTTCATTCACCATTTTATTCATTTATCAATTCATTCATACGTACATACGAACATTCACTCATCACTTGTTCGTTCATTCTTTCTTTCATTCATTTATTCATTCATTGATTGATCAACAGTTCCTCCAGCGCCCCCACCTCTTCCGCCCACCATGGACCAAATAGAGCATCCGACAGCAAAAAACTTTAAGCATCACTTGCGATTTATCATATCTATGCTGAACGTTTATGATAGCGTAACCATGTATAACAATAGAACGGGCGGTAATAAAGATGAGGTCGACGACGATGACGATAATGATACTAAGTGTCATGATAGTGATACTAAAAGTACTGATGATGATACTAAAAGTGTTGATAATGATACTAAGTGTCATGATAGTGATACTAAAAGTACTGATGATGATACTAAAAGTGTTGATAATGATGCTAAGAGTGCTGATGACGATGCCAGGAGTGCTGATGACGATGGTGCGGATAAAATTGTCTCTGGCGATAATGAAGAAGATAAAAAGACGATTTCTGACGGCCGTAATAGTGTTGAACAGGTTGATGTCTAATTAATTGATTGATTAATTGATTGATTGATTGGTTAATTGATTGATTGATTCATTCATTCGTTAATAAATTCATTGTATCAAATCCATCAATGAATCAATCTATCAACCAACCAATCATATAACAGACATTGCTAACTGTTTTTAACTTGGATCAGTCAGAAGCGAGAGAGGCCACCCAGGTAATAAGGAGACGATTAGTCGTCCAATCCCGAATCTCGTTATCCAAGTCTTCGGCCAATCAGAAATCAGTATCATTCAAAGAGGCAGAACTCTATCCGTTCAGCGATTTCATTTCTTGTTTTGAATTAGTGAAGAGAAGCAACAAAATGGCGGCCGTTACGTCGTTGGTGGAGGCGTTGAAAGACGAAAATGACAAAAAGACAAAAAAACATGGCGGCGATGTTGCTGATGATGATACTTATGGTGATAACGAGGACGGTGATGGGGGTGATGTGGTGAGAGGTAAACAATTATACAGTGGTAATGGTGGTGGTGGTTCGAAAGATTTGGAAAAGAGAAGGAATAGTGATGACGATGAAAAAAAAATGACCCTTGGTGATAAAACCGGTGATGGTGATGATAACAAAGTTGATGGTGATGATGATGCTGATTACGTCGTGTGTCTCAAAAGCCATCTTAATGAGGGCAAACTCTTCAATCTAGGTTTATTATTACTATGATTATAATATTAATTATTTGTGTTATTATTACATCATCATCATTACGAACACTATTACCAGGGCAATTTTTGTTCAGCAATGCGTTGTCCAACAACTCATCGACCAAGGAACTAGTGAAACTTTTATTATCACCTTTATCTCTTACGTCATCGTCGACGTCATCGCCATTTCCGCAGCAGCAGCAGCAGCTGTCGTCGCTATCGTCATCGATGTCGTCACTGGCGTTTGCCGCTGATGATATCTTGGTTAGTTTTTTTCTTTTTATGACGATGACGACGATTAGGAAGAAAATGATGAAGATGGTTCTAACCAAGGTTATAATACACGCACACACACACACACACGCCTCACAGAAATGTCTTCTGACTTACTTGACATCGAATGACGTCACTCTGACGTCATTATCACCAGCATCAGCATCGGCAATAACATCAAAAACTCAGATGAAGTCAATGTTTATTGGAAATATCAAGAGACTGTTTACATTTGTTGCCTCTGTTTTCCAACAAGTTCAAGGTCGCAATTATTATAATTAGTATTATTTATTATTATTATTTATTATTAATATAGTTGTTATTGTTATTATTAAATGTTTTCTAATTAGTTATCGCACTGACGTTGCATTGCATTAGCAGACATCTCATCAACCATCACAGCCCTATCTTAATATTTCTATTCATTGACCTTAACTTTTTACTCCAATTTTTCACCCTCAAGCTTCGACCAATCAGGCGAGAGATTGCATGTTGACTGACAAGATGTGGGAGGATATCGTGAACGTCTGCAGCCAATCGGAGAACATCTTCAGCTCATACATATTCATACTGATCGGCAGATCTCTGGCGTCTAAATACGAGGAGGTGAATCAGTATAACCCTGCTAGTACTGCTGCTACTATAAATACCACTGTAGTATTCTATTACTACTGGTACAACTACAAATAATAATTAAGACAACAGCAAATGTACTGCTTATGTGAATTTATGCGAATCAGGGCAGGGACCTTCTTGCATTCAAACCCGGTTACTGCAACAGTAGTACCAGCCTCGTTGACACATTGACCACCGCCCATTATTATTATTATTATTATTTCTACCCAGCCGACGGGGGTGACGCAGGACTGGGTGGATATAACCCTGGCCACAGAGAAGTGGCAGAGAGTGTCGAAACAATTCCAGGACCTACTTCTGCTGGAAACCCTTTTCAAATACACCCACGCAAAATCATCATCGTCGTCGTCGTCCTCCCACGCCCCTCTGCCCCCATCATCGTCAACGTCTTCATCATCCACTCACGCTCCACCATCAACCTCCAATAACACGACATCGTCATCATCATCGTCGTCACGTGCAAAACGTGAAAAGAGGAATGATGTTAGTAATGATGGTGGTGGTGGTTTGGACAGGGGTGGTGTCGCTTTGAGTGGCTGTGCGAGTGGTGGCTCTGTCGGTAGTGCAGCCGTACCGGAAGTGGTTACTGTTTCCTTGAAAAAAATTCAAAATGGCGGAAGGGGTCAGTTTTTGTTTATTTATCCCATCATGACCTAAATTTGCAAAATTCATCCACATACCTACTTAATATCCGTATAATTTTTCACACACATGCAAGTTAATTACCATAATTTATTCACTGACCTACTTAATATTCATGATTTCACCACGCAGCTAACTATGATAATTAACATATTTCATGCACGCAGCCATGCTACCGGAGCTGATTGGCAAGTGGCTGAGCAGGACGTACATGCCGGCAGCGGTGCTTCAGAACGTCGACAAATATGGCCGACCTCTGGTAGATGACTTCACCGTGAATTACTTTTCCAGGAAACAATCAACGTCTTCGTGGTCATCGCCATTTTGGTCACCGTTATCATCAGCTGATCGGCGAATGATGGACGAGATATCGGGTCGGTCGGTTGGATGATTGGTTGGCTGACTGATTGGTTGGCTGACTGATTGGTTGGCTGACTGATTGGTTGATAAATGGAAAGATGAATGAATGATTGGATACTTGTTTGAATGAAAGAATGATTGTATGATTGATTGATTGAATAAATTTACAACACCTCCACAAAAGGATTATTAGGCGCGATACAGCAGCAACTACCACACACCTGCCATCCATTCGCCATAGCTGCCAATACTGCCTGGGAGTTCCTCGTTATGTGGGATAGGTCAGTTGGCTGGTTTTTTGATTGCCGGTTGGTTGGTTGATTGATTAGTTGAACTGATTAAATATAATCGATTAACATTTCTGTTCAATTAAATAACAAAACAAACAGTAAACCATTCATACAATCAATAATTCAACCAATCAATCATTCAACCAATCATTCATTCAACCAACCAATCAATCCACCTATCAGAGATGTGGAGCTGACAGATTGTCTGCAACTAGCTTTAGATTATTTGAAGAAATGCGATTGGGACCCACTAAAAGATGGTTTCATTCCTTCAGTCACTCTGTCATTCATTCATTCATTCATTCATAAAATTATTCGTTCAGTCACAACCGATTGATTGATTGATTGATTCATTCAGTTATTTATACACCCACTCATACACTGATTCACTCGTACTTTTCACTCAGCATTTGTTGATCTATTCATTTATTTTTTCATTCATTCATTCATTCATCTATTCATTCATTCATCCACTAAGTCATTCATTCATTCATTAATTCATTCATTCAGGGCTCTCGGTAATGATGTGGCAGATGTTCATCGTCAAGAGACTGACCTCTGCCGTCATGTTGACCGAAAAAGTTGGCAAAGCGCCAAAAGATAGACTGATAAGAAAAGTTTGCGTCGGATGAATGAATGAATGGGTGAATGAATGGGTGAGTTAGTGAATTACTGAATGAGTAAATGAATGAGAAAATCAAGGGTGAATTAGTAAATATATCTATGAATGAGTGAATGTTCAGTTTGCTGATGATGGTTAAATGGTTGATTGATTGGTTGATTGATTGATTGACCAATCAGGAAGTAGGCATGAGTGAATCGGCCTTGATGAAGTTTATAGAATTCACGGAAAACTTTTTGGTTTATCTAAACTTTGTTAGTGATGATTATGGCGATAATAATAATAATTAATAATAATTTATTCATCCACCTTTTTATTTTCTTCGTTATAATTATTGTTATAATAATTATTATTATTATTTGTCATATTATAATTCATCCTAAGATAATATTTTTAAAATTTTTGAAAAGTCCTCTCACCCCGGCTACGACCTGGACGACCCGCACGACGACGATGGCTTTGTAGCCAACTCGGCATTGGACGACATCACCACACCACACCTCAAACAAAAGGAACGACGCAACGCTGCCATGATCATAAAAATCACCCACTGTGAAGACGTCTGGCAAGAATACATACTTCCTAATTCCTCTTCTGGATCTACTATTACTACTACTACTTCCGCCGGATTGATGTCAACGCTCTTCTCTAAAATGGAGTTATCATATCTTGGTTCTTCCTTCGTTAAATCTGGGGCGTCGTTTACTGGATACTCCTCTGGCCTGACCGGTTATTCATACTCGAAGACTGCTCCCGGCAACATGGGATTCGCGTATTCGAGTCTTTCTTCAAACAAAAAAGGATTTGCACATCCGGTCACTACATCTGGTGAGACGGGGGGATTTACCTACCTGGATGCCGCCTCCGCCAAGAAGGGATTTGTACATCCGAGTGCTTCTCAAGACGAACCTGATGAAACAGAGTTAGAAGATTCGGATAGCCCTATAGGTACATTGCGGAATGCAACTTTTGGCGCTATTTCCGGCAAATTGGGATCCAGCACATCCCTGGTCGAGTTGGCGCTGGCTGGAGGAGGTGTGTATGACGAGGCGATGGTGAAACATCACGAATGTCTCTGCCTGATCATGAAAGCTGTACTCAAGTTGGGATTGAAGTCCGTTAAGATTATGGGACTCTTTGATTCTAAGGTTGGTCGGTCGGTAGGTTGGTAGGTAGGTTGATTGGCTGGTTAGTTGATTGTCTCTTTATCCGTCTATCAAGATACTCATTTATCTTCAGACCAATTCATCCATCTACCCATCAACCCACCCATCCATCCATCCAGGGTCGAACTAACTGCTTCAAACCTCTCACTCACGAATATCCGCTTCCGTTTGACGTGCACGATGAGACTGTCATGGCGTGCAGATTGGAGGTTCGTGCTTTTGCCGATTTTTAAACTGGGATTTTAAACTGGGAATTAAAGATTGTAAACTATAATTAAGCCATTAAACGAACAGCCGAATGATTATTGTGGGTTGTTTAAATTAAAAGTTAAGAAATTGTTAATTGAAAATTAATCAAATAAAAAAATATTTCTCCACCATAGTTCATAGACCGCCTGATCTCTAGTTCAATCTCCACGCTGGGTGATTCCGGTGTGGACCCCTCCCTCAAATGTTGTCCTAGGACCTACCGGACCACCGTACTGAAGAAAAAACCGGATCCTAAACTGAAACAGTACCAGGAGTGGCCGGATGCTATCCGTAAACTCTGTCATTTCCTGATGTGTGATACGGATTATGTGTACTGGAGACAGGCAGAGTTGTTGTACCTGCATGGATATGATTATATTGCTTATGAGGTTAGTAGGTTGATGGTTGGCTGGTTGATTGGATGGTTAATTTGTTGGTCCGTTGGTTAGCTTTAATGTTTGATTTTGTTGAGTTTGCGATTGGTTGTTTGAGTGAGGTGGGAGTTGATTTATGAATAGGTTGTTTGTTTGATTGATTGATTGACGGATTGATTGATGGATCGATTGGTTGATTGATCGACTGGATTTGTTGCTATTTTTGAAAGATTCTGCCACAAGTTAGAGATAAGGATGAATTGATCAAGAGACTGTTCTTCATATCTGCTTATAGATTTAGTTAGTTGGATTAGTGTTTTTTTTTCAAATTATTATTATCATCTTTGCTACCTTTAGTTTCATCGTCATCATCATTATTGCTGTTATATCATCATCATCACCATCATCACAATAATCATCATCATAATCATTATCGTCATCATTAGAGCCGGCGTTATTCTGCAAAGACAAGATGTTGCATCTGAATCGATTGAGCATGTGCTCAGTAACACTGAAGAACTGGCTTGAAAGAATTGTAAGTTTGTCTCTGTATGTCTCTCTCTATTCCTTTCTCTTTTCTTTCCTTCTCTTTCTCTCTCTGTGCGTGTGTGTGTGTCAGCCATCCTTCCAATCATCATAATCATCATCACAATCAATGACCACCATCGTCACTTTCGCCAGGATTCAACTTTCCACGTGGCGACAGTCCCATTGGCATTCACGAGGGAGCTGCTGACGTACGTGATGCAACATCTTCCGGCAGACGGCATGGAGTACAGGCTCTCCGAGGAGATGATGAAACTCTGCGGCGATTACTCGCGATGATCATTAAGGAAATGACGTTATCGTCCTGCTGCTATTTGTGACGTCATTGCGATTATTATTATTATTCTTTACTATTATTATTATTAGATGATGATGATGTCATAACGAAATTGTGTGTAAGTCACGAATGTGCGTGTGTAAGCCACGAATGACGTCATTATCGTCATCGTGACGTCACTATTATTATAATTTTTATTATCGAATGGTGTGCCGTAATACGAGCCAACCAAAGAAGCAAGGAGATTTTGATGGCATTTGGGTCGCGTACATGCAGCTATACGAAATTATCATCGCAATCGTCGTCCTCTTCATCACCATCATTTATTTATGACGTAATTTCATTTATTTATGACGTAATTATTATAATAATAATTATTAATTCAATTATAATTATTATTACTATAATTTTTTCCTGTTCTACTTGATTTGGTGGCCATAATTTATTATATATATATATATCCGTATATTATATGATATATAATATATATATATATATCATATAATATATAAAATATATATATATATATATATATATAATATAATATATATATCCGTAAATTATGTAACGTAAGCTAAAGATACACACGCACATGTACACACACACACACACTTATACGCACATACATAAACATACACACAAACAAAACATACATATAAATATAAATATGATTTTAACCATGTGATGAACGTGAACTCACTTAGTTCGTTAGCCTCCATGACAAGTGAAATAAAATTATACAAAATGCACGAATGATTGAATGAATGATTGAATGAATGAATAAGTTAATGAATGAATGAACGAATCAACTAAATAGATGAATGAATGATTAACATAAACGATTAACAAATGAAAATATACACAATAAATGGTTTTCAATTTCTAAACTTGCACGTGTATATAAATATATATGTGTATATATATATATAACGTATATATAGAAACATATATATATATATATAGAGAGAGAGAGAGAGAGAGAAATATATACATACTAACATATATGATATATAAATACTTAAATAAGAATAACTATGTTAAACGTTACTATACTACATGATACATACATATATATATATATATATAATAGATATATATATATCATACATATAATATATATCTATCTATATATATATAAAGTATATTGAAAAACCAATGAATCATAATAACAACAATAATAATTTAGAATATAAAATCTAGTAATAAACGATCAACGTATGTTAGCATTATGGCATAATAATTATTATCATTATTAATTAATTATTTTACGATTAAAATTACTAAATTCGTTATTATTATTATTCCATAAATATTCTCGAGGAATGTAAAAGCCCTTTAGGAATAAGATACAATTGAAATCTAAAATGTGTATAGCATATCTATCTATGTATCTATATTTCTATTCAACCTATTTTACATTCATTCGTTCATTGTTTTATTCATCCATTCATTCGTCTATCCATTCATCCATCTATCCATTCGTCCATCTATCTATTTATCCGTCTATCCATTCATCCATCTATCCATTCATCCGTCAATTCATTCATTCATTGATTCATTCATTTGGAGGCATCTTTATTCGATGCAGGTACGTCCAACTGCTTGCCTAGGTACTCCCTGGAGTGAATGATTGAATGAAAGAATAAATAAAACAATGAATGAATGAACGAATGAATGAATGATTTAAAAAAATAGATGTTTCATGATTAAAGTGGCAATCCAACCAATCAATCAACCAACTGACCAACCAACTGACCAGTTATGGACCATCAGTTTTTGAACGGCCAGTAAAGCTTCGTAGCGTACGTTCGGATCTTCGTGTGACAGCAGGGCCATTACATAAGTTTTCCCGCCAAGTTGCTCGATGACCCTTGGTTGAGATGATGATGAATGTGATGATGAATGTGATGATGATGACTGTGATGATAATGATGATGACTATTATGAAGAAGAAGATGATTGCAATAGATATAATGAAAATAATGACAAAAATAAAATTAACCTCCTCATCGCTATCATCACAAGCACCAAGACCACCAACATCATCATCAACAGTAACACCACCACCAACATCATCAATACCATCGCCATGGTCGCCACCACCCTAGCTTACGTCTTGCCATGCGGGTAGTGCCTCACGTATTCGCCCAAATCGTGGGCTGCAACAGACAATATCAACGGGTCCTTGCTTGTCTCGAGCAACTTTGCCAAAATTCTATTTAATCATAATTTATTTATTTTATTATCATAATTATTATGACTTACTTATTTTATTATCATAATTATTATAGTGTTATCACCGTTTCTGTTTGCAATTGTGATGGATGTTGTGTGTGGAAACATAATGGAGAGGTTGTTATTTGAGATTTTGTATGCAGATGATTTAGTCTTGATGGCTGATAGCATGGAAGAATTGCAGTTAAAATTTGACAGATGGAAAAGTGTTATTGAAAAGAAAGGGTTAAAAGTTAATATTGGTACTGCAGAGGGCTGAAAGAGCTATGGTGAGGATGATGTGTGGGGTTAAAGTGAAGGATAGGAGGAGTAGTACAGAGCTAATGTCGATGATGGGACTGAATGAGGACATTGTGACATTGATAAGGAGATCGAGATTGCGGTGGTATGGACATGTGTTGAGAAGGGATGAAAGGGTCGGGATTAGGCGAGCGTTGGAGTTCGAGGTTGAAGGAGTGGTAGGAAGGGGTCGTCCGCGATTGGGATGGAGAGAGCAGGTGGAGAAGGACATAGTGAAAGCGGGGTTGCGTGATACTGAGGCGAGTGACAGATGTGGATGGCGTCGAGGGGTATTTCGGTTTCATCATAGGTAGCCAAACGGCAACCCCCGATCTCGGGGAAAATGTCGTCTAAACGTGTGTTGTTGTTGTTGTATTATCATAATTATTATAATTGTTATAGTAATTATTTTTAGCGCCAACTTGAGTAGTTCAAAATTTTTTTCGTTAAGTCTTCCGGCGTTTTCGCGCCAGAACTTCTCCGACTTGTGGACAGGACTCCATTCCAGCTGGCCTGATTTCAACTCGGACGTGTACTCGTCGAATGAACTGTGATTGGTTGGTTGGTTTAGTAGGATAATGTGATTGGCTGGTTGTGAATGATTGTGATTGGTCGGTTGTGAATGATTGTGATTGGTCGGTTCATCGGTTGGCGAAGTGGGTGATTGAAATTGATTTGTTGGTTTATTGTGATTGGTTGATTGGCCGGGTAGTTATTATGATTGATTGATTTGATACTTGAGTGACTGGTCAATCAGTCTATCAATCAATCAATTAACTATCAATCAATCGATCAATCATTCAATCTATCAATCGATCGATCGATCGACTGACCAACCTCAAGTCTTGCACTTGCACTTGCAGTGTACCACTGATGAACTGGATGTCTTCCATTATGTCAATATCCTCATACTTCTTCGTCTCCAGTAGTGACAGTTGCTTCATAACCTGGACGATTTTAAGTGGTCGCTTTTAAATATAAATCCTTTGGATTGGTCGGTATTTAAATATGGGCGATTTTGATTGGTCGATTTGTTGAGAAAACCAAAATTTGGTTGGGTAATTTATATCGTGAATGATTTTGATTGGCCGATTATAAATGTAAAGTTGACTCTGATTATATATAAATACGCTCTGCGAATGAATGGAAGATTGGATTGATGAATGATTAACTGAACGAGCAAATAGAGCAAGAACGAATGAAAAAATGAATAGAGAAATTAACGAGCCAAAAGAAACCTTGCATCTTATCATCGCCAGTGAGTTATCCGTTTTGAATTCTTTCTCTGAGGGCTTTTCCAGAAGATTCTAGAAGAAACCAGAATTCATCCATTCATTCATTCATCTTACTCGCTCATTCATTTATTCATTCATTCCTTCATTCACTCAATCCACTAACTCTAAAGGTAGCGAGGATGATCCGGATGACTTTTTCCTTGGCAGCGTCACTCAGAATGTCAGACATCACTGGGATGACTCCACTCCTTGTAGTAATGATGATGAAGATGATGATGAAGATGATGACAATGATGAAGATGATGACAATGATGACACACATACACACACGCATACCTGCTAATCTTATTAGCAATGGACACATCAAATGTCAATATCCATAGACAGAATATCAGCTGATACTGTATCTGATAGCCGGTTTTGCTGTGAAGCAGATCATTTATCCTGGATGAATGAATGGGTGAATAAATAATTCAATGAATGAATAGTTGAATGAATGTTTGAAAGAAAGATTGATTGAATGAATGAATGGTTGAAATAAGTAAATACTCAGCGAATGAACGAACGTAGGAACAAACTGATCAATGTGATAATCTTTTAATTATTAACTAACCATTAAAAAAACATGACAAAACAAACAACAACAACAACAATAATAATAAATAATAATAATAACAATAAATAATAATAATAGTAGTAATAATAACGTTTCCACGCCCTTCAGTTCGACAAAGTGCTGTCTATACACTGGTAATCTCAGAAGCATCTGAAGACACCTAACTACAGATTGCAGGTATTCGTTACCCTGTAAATAATTCCATCATTATTATTATCATAATTATTATTATTCAAAAAAAGGGGTCTCATGGCCGAGTGGTTAGCGTGTCCGTCTACCACTCCCACGACCCGGGTTCGAATTCTGCAGTTTCTACAGGTTCATCCGGGTAGCCGACCCCCGGTCAACCCAGCCGTCCATCCTTTCGAGGTTGGTAAATGAGTAGACGACGTAAGTTGTAGCATGTTGGCTGGCGAGATGGCTCGGTGGTTCAAATGCTCGCTGAGTTAAACATCTCAATGGCTGTCATATACTCAGCGTATATGATGCGGTGCTTGTGCGTGCACATAAAATGCATGTGTACGTCGTGTGAAAAGGATAAACAGCCTTTGTGGCAAAAGATGGCTGCTTCAAATCAATAGATGAAGAAAAGAAGAACATAATAAAAGATATATAGATAACATAATATATCTGTAACATTGTAAGTGGTTCTGCGTATGTCAGAGCTGCAATAATAAAGACTAATAAAAAAAAAATTATAAATATAATTATTATTATAAATATAATTATTATTATAAATATAATTATTTATTATTATAGTCATAATTACCTGGGCTCTCAGTTGATCCTTTATGAGCCAGTGCAAGTAGAAGTTGAGGTCTTGAGAGGGCATGGGAATTTTGCCCCAGCAGGCTATTTTCGAAATTATGCGACTCGCCTGGCAATTTTAATAATAATAATCATAACCATAATTAATAATAATAATTATAACCATAATAATAATAATTATTATCATAATTATAATACTGCTGCTACTACAACTGGTGACGATAATGATAATAGTGACGATGGAGATGATGATGATGATGACTAACGTGACAATGTTATTTGTTTCATGTTTATTCATCAACACAGCTCTTACTATTACTACTACTGCTGCTACTGCTACTGTTTCTAGTACTACTACTACTACTACTAATAATAATAATAATAATAAATTACCACAAAAATATCACAGAATTAAACTATCTTTCCCTAAAATTAGTGCAGACGAACGACACTCACCTGATTGACGGTGTAGGAATCAGGCCTGTGTAGCATATCAAAAAATGGTTTCCATATTGATTCTTTGTTCTTCGTGGCGTACTGCCTAAAGAGTTCCACCCTTGATTTATCTTCCTGAATTGAATATTTAGTGTTTTTTTTATTGGGGACAGTTAGGTAAATACACATCGAATCCAAATATAATAATCCTCAGCTGGAGTCCCGTAACCCCAACCAACCTGAAGGATATCGTCAATTAGAGTGACCAGATACTGAACGGTTTGATCCTTGGCTATCTTGGACATCATGGAGAGTAAGGTGGCTATGCACTGTTGTAGATCATGTTGTTGTTGTTGTTGGTCAGTCAGTTAGTTAGTTAGTCAATCAATCCACAAACCAACCAATCAACCAAACAATCATTCAATAGAACCACCAACTTACAAACAAATCCAATCAAACTAACCAATCAATCAACCAATAAAGCCAGCCAACCAATTAAACTAACTAATCAATCAATCAACCAATCAAGCCAGCCAACCAATCAAACTAATCAATCAATCAATTAATCAGCGGAGAAGATCAATCAAAACCTGAGTTGGCATATTTTTAAAAGTCTCGCCCCTACTAGCTGCACTGTCCAATTTGATGATGATGTCAAACTCGTCCGGGGTGATCATTCTACCTCTGATGATGATGATGATTGTAACGATGATGATGATGGTGGTTGTGATGGTTGATGATGATGATGATGATAACAACGTGACAAAAGAAACAACAGCAGAAGCAAAACTAACTAACAACAACAATGACATTAATAATAATAATAACAATAATAATAACAACAATAATAATAAAAACAAGGACGGCTGACTGAGCATATGACTGCCAGTTGACTCTGGTGTTTCTTATCTCCATTGCCTTTGCTTGCAATGGACTTGTCGCCATAACAGCTCCTGATAAAAAAACGCAGTCGTCGCCATCACTATCATCACCACCACCCCCATCATCATCATCATCATCAACCCCAGCACCACCACCACCACCACCACCACCATCATCATCGTTATTATTAGTATTACTATCATCATCACCTTTGTCAAAATCTAAAGGCCAGTTGATGTGCTCCTTTGGCGTGATTGCGTAATAAACCTGATAGCAATCCCTTACAGCAGACACTACATTCCTATTATCACTTCTTCTAAATATCTTTCTAATCAACTTCAGCATTTCAACCGATTGATTAATTAATTTATTTTAAATTTAAATCAATCAAATTGAATTAACTTGTATATTGTGCAAGAAAAATTGAAGCAAACCTTTGTGATCGTTGCATATATATATATACATACGCACATTGGTATATAACTATATACACAAAGCATTTCTAGGTTTGGAACTTATATAACAATATATGATATATCTAGATATATATCATATCTAACTGTATATGATATATACATAAAAATATATCTATTATACACATAAATATAAACGTGTGTGTGATATATACAGATATATAAGATATATAATATATACACATACCTTACTACCTATAATTGACAAACATCTACACATGCAATTGTATAATGGATACATATATATATATATATATATATATATAGATATGTGTGTGTGTGAGTGTGTGTGTGTTCGTATGTGCATTAATAGAAAAAGAGACAAAGAAAGTGAGAGAGAGAGAGAGAGAGAGAAAGAGAGAGAGAGAGTATCCAATGGAATGACCATCAATTACAAAGAATACACAAAAGAAAGCTTATTAAACAATAGAAAATAAAAAAAAAAATTAACATTATATCTGGATGCATATATATATATATATATATATATATACTTTATAAATACATATATGAATCATATATATATATAAATATATAATAGTATATAATTATGTAAATATGTAAGAGTATATAATTCTTGTGTACAATTCTTGTAAAATTTACTCAGGGTGGCCCATTCACAAGTTTTTTTTTAACTTCTTTTTTGGTCCCTTAGGTCCCTTATTTTGAATAAACTATGTTATGTTATATATACTTATAAATAATTATAATATATATATATATATATATATATATATATATATATCAGTATATGTCTATATATACATATATAAAGCCTATATAGTTGTGTATATATATATATATATATATATATATATATATATATATATATATATATATATATATATATATATATATGTTTCTTATGTTTTTTACCTTTTCCTGTCCTTTAACAATTGAGCCATTAATCAAGCAATCAATTAATAGGGCAACCAAACAGTCAATCATTTACGAACCTAAATACATATGTAATGTATATTGTATAGTATAGTGTACATGTTCTTGTATATTTGTATTTGAATGTTATAATCATAATAAGTGTGTCTGATTGTATGTGTATGTTTGTTTGTATGTACATTTATATTTGTATGTTTGCATGTGTATGTATGCATGTATATATGAATATACATAAAAATAAAAAATGCCAACCAGCTTTCTCAAAGTCTTCAATCACGTTCCGGGCAGTTTGAACTGGTTGATCGTTTGGAATCATCATCAGCAACGCCAATGTCACCTGATTTTTTCATTATCAAATTACGAAATGTATTATATTTATTCATCTGTTATATTTATTTTTAATGTATTTATTTATTTCTATCATTGATTTTATTATTTCGAACTTTTAAACCCGACTTTTTAAAAAATCACAAGACCAGTCTAGCAGGAAGGCAAGATAATTAGCTATTCAAAGTTCAAATTTGATTACCTTAATTTTAAAATATTCATACCTCAGTCGCTTTGATCTTTAGATTAGTTAAAAGTTCAACGATTTTTATGATCTTTTTTAAGAGAGAACTAATTTGTCCAACAAAAAATTGAACTAGTCGGCGATCATATAATTAAATTGCTACAATGTTATGGTTTGGTGAAATTAGCATTTAGGTTGACTTTTCGTGCACCATAGACAATTAATGAATTCTCAAAAATTAAGTTCGGCCTTTTTTATCTACCGTAGAAAAACACAAAAATTTAGCAAACTTTTTTTGTGCTTACAAAACGACAGATGCGCGCATATATATGTGAATACATGATAAATAATAAAATTAAATTCTGAACTCAAGTTTTTATTGAGTATTATTAATAAAATTGATTACATTGCTGAATAAGTGGCCATTAAAATGCGATAATTAATATTACTACAAATACTACCATTGCTATCACTACTACTACTATTACTAATACAAGTATTACAATCAATATCGCCATACCGAGTTTGCTAGTCAAAATAGAATCTTAAACATTAATTGATGGTAAAATAAATGAATGAATAAAAGTATTAAACGTAAATAATAATGTAAATATATTTAATAGAGAGTGAGAAACATAGGAAAAGAAATAGAAAAAGAGAGACAAACAGACAGACAAACAAACAGACAGACAGACATACAACTGACAGACAGAAAGAGAATTGCTCTGTTATATTCTTCTTGCCTTTAAATCTTTAACCTGAATAAAAAAGGAAAAAATTATTGTAAATTAATTAACAAACAGCAAACAATAATAAATTTGATCAATTAACTACTACTACTACTACTGCTGCTACTGCTACAACTGTTGCGATAATAATAATAACTATAACAAGATGAATAATAATACCTTCCTAGGTAATTTTACAGGACAGGTCTTAATTTTATTATTATTTGCGTTACTATTACCATCATTATTTATATTATTATTATCATTACTACGTGTAATTTTAATAATATTATTAATAATATAATTCTTTTCAGAGATGGTCTTTCGTTTAAATTTAAATTGGTCCCTATTTAAAGTAATGCTGCTGATTTTTACTGATGGCTTTTTCAATCGAAGATGATGATGATTAGGTTGATGGTGATTGTGATTAAGTTTATTATTATTAATAATATTATTATTGTTGTTGTTATTATTAATTCTGATATTCGTCCGTCTTTCTATCATTTTTAGTCTTTTTTTGGAAGATTTTATGAAATCTGGCCTGTTCCTTTTCAAGTGTTCCTACCAAATAGCAGTTATAAT